AAAGTGGGGGTCGTCTTGTACATGGGGGCGTCTTATTGTCGGAAAAATACGGTAATTATATCACCTTTTTCATATACAATCATATCCCATTGTGCATATTTGGCACAATAAGTCATATGCAGAGCAATATATATTTCAGGGTGGGCCTCCTTAAATAAACTGTTCGTACTTTTCATCACAGTTTCAGAAAGGGAAATGCCCAGTGCAGTATGGCATGATAGTTTACCTCATCCTTGTTTGAGAAACACAGTTTATTTGGTATCTTCTAATAGCACAATTCTCTCAGAGCAGCAGCCACTTCTATTAAGAAATGCATCAGTTGCAGAAGACAGTATAGCCATCAGTTTTGTTTTTTGTTGACCAGTGCATTCACTAGACCATATACTTTTGACATTTATGTTTCCCAGTGTGTTTTTCATTGTAGCATTCCTCTTCCATGGTACAGTCATACATTATATTAACATATCCTACCTTGAATACCTCCCATGTTAGAAAATGGAATATTAGTTTTTCTGGTGTCATGTGTGACAGTATCTTAAGACCACATTCTTAATAACATGCAGTGGCTATCCTTTATTTATGGGTAGACAGACAAGGAAAGGAGTAGTTGGAGAATTTTTCAGTATTGCAGTGCAAGGCTATCACATTTTACCAAGGCCAAATCTCATTCAACTTTCAGGAATAGAATATAGTGTGAAAAACTAGATCACATGATTGCCAGTCATCCAAGAAAGTAGGAGGTCAGTCACTTAGCACACAAAGTTGAAAGGAACTGTTATGTTAAACATCAATTATCTTTTTGATTCCTTGGAGTCATACTGAAGAGAAGTGTGAGGGGAGTTGATCATTCAAAGTGAGGTCTGTTCAGATGAGCTCACATTATTATAATACAAAGGGCCGTAATTAAAATGAGAATGTATAGCTATTAAAATCTGCACTGTTTGATTAATTTATATTGGAAAAATAATATTGGTTCATTGAATATAGCATTTTCTATTGGTATATGATTTATTTATTTATTTAAAATATTGTCATGGTGATAATATTGGTCTTAAGACTGAAATATATCTGAAAACTGTGATAATAATATTGGCTTTAAGGCTGGAATCAGGTTTTGGCCCAGTCATCCAAGATATCATAAACAGTGGCTTAAGAAGCACATGAAAGGATAAAAGAACTATATAGGTACCCAATGCTTTTTCAGTCAGGAACCATTTTGTTTTTTATTTTTGTAGTACAATGTGATGCTACACATAATCAGGCCACTATAAGCATCTTCACTTGAAAGACTTGTTGTTTCTGCTGGCCATTTAGGTTAATGACTGATTGATAGATGAATATTTGTGTGGGCTTATGTAAATAATATTTCTTTTCCAGATTCTGACAACAAAGGTGTGAATTCAAGTCGCTTGGTAGCTTGCATAACCACTTTATTTTTATTCAGCAAAATCAGGCCTCAGTTAATGGTCAAACATGCTATGACCATGCAACCATATCTTACCACTAAATGCAGTGTAAGTATTCACACATTTCAGATTGTTTCTGTTTATGGTTTCTTTTTAAGCTTGAAGTTAAGATTAAAGTGTAGGCAGAAAGCAGCAAAGTGGGTTTTGAGAATCAATATTTAGTTGCCCACTTCTGAAGTTGTCCTTATTACTGTTTATTTTTTCTCATGTCTGTTGCTATGGTTTAATATTGCTTCTTATTAGACTCATGGGAGGAGCTTTCTTTCAACATTTATTATATTTACTGTTTTAGTTTTTAAATTCATTTGTTAACTGACTTCTTTTGAAATATTTTCTGACAATAAGAACAGTTTGACAATAGAACCAATTACCCAGAGAGTGGTGGGCTTCCCTTCATTGGAGGTGTTCAAGCAGAAACTATATGGGTTTTTGCTGGGACAGTTTTCATTTGGATTCTTGCGCTGAGCAGGGGTTGGACTTAATGGCCATTTCAAACTCTGTGGTTCTATGTTTTTATTTTTTATTTGCGTAAGGGCAATATTTACTTCATTCTAACATTTCTATCCCATTTTTCATCATTAAAATGATCCAAAAGTAGGATAGAAACAGTTCAAAATGATCAGCTGTATTGATCTGCCAGCCCTCACCAGATTTTCTCAAGTACCACTTGAGTAAGGAGAATTACTTACTAAATATGGTACTAGTCCATGAACACAAAGTTGTAACTGCTCATTTGCTGTTCCATGGTACCATATCATTCAGTAGCATACATGCTTTATTTTATTGTTGAACTTGAGCTTTTTATGATCTAGTAATAGGATCACAGTAAATATAATTAATTAAATACAATATTTTCTGTAGAATCAAAATGACTTCATGGTGATCTGCAATGTTGCAAAAATCTTAGAATTGGTAGTGCCACTGATGGAACATCCAAGTGAGACTTTCCTTGCTACGATAGAAGAAGATCTCATGAAGCTTATAATCAAATATGGCATGACAGTAAGGTTTAATTTCTACTTTAAAAATCATCTTGTTTTATTGTAGTACAAAATGCTATATTTGAAAGAGAACAATGAAATTGTAGTCATGTTGATTTTATAGATATGAATTGCATTTGTTAATGCATTTTATTATTTTTACTATTTATGGACTACTTTGTTTTTTATAGCAATTTTATTAAACATTATAGTTACAAAGATAAAAACTAATACAAACTAAAAAAAGAATAAGAAAAAATAGAAAGTGCAGAAAAGAAAAAAGTAGAAAAATAGAAAAGAAAGAAAAAATAAGAATATATGTTTATGAAGATTCTCAGTCATCCAGGTGGAATTGTCTGGAGGTTGAGTCATGGCAACTGGGAAGAAAAAATAGAAAGTGCAGAAAAGAAAAAAGTAGAAAAATAGAAAAGAAAGAAAAAATAAGAATATATGTTTATGAAGATTCTCAGTCATCCAGGTGGAATTGTCTGGAGGTTGAGTCATGGCAACTGGGCTTCTTTTCTTTTGGTTAGAGATGTTTTGCTACTTGTCCAAGCAGCTTCTTCAGTCTAACAAGAATATAGTAAATATAAATAAATAGTAAGAATATAGTAAAGAAAAAGAAAAGAAATATATAAAGAAATGACTTTCCCCTTCATCACAACAAGAATAAAGAAATATATAAAGAAATGACTTTCCCCTTCATCACAACAAGAATAAAGAAATATATAAAGAAATGACTTTCCCCTTCATCACAACAAGTATATACAATTTTAGTATACACCTTCTCTTAAAATACAACAAATTTATCTCTTCTTCCCATATCCCATTTCTTATTTATAAGCAAATCCTTAAAATGTCATTGTTCAGTCCTAATCAGCAAAAGTCCATTAAGGGTTACCAGAGATAATGACATATCTACTTTAACCTTGATCAAAGAAACCAACTTTATATTCCTTCCCTTTACTTTTAACAATCTTGATCCTTAATACCCTCAAATAATGTCCTAGAACTTAATTTCTTTTCATTTTTTCTCTGTCCCTGTCACAAAACTCTTCAAAACTTTAACAAGTCTCTTTTGTAGATCCAATATAAGAAAGTTATCCAAGTCATTCTTTGGTTTATTATTTGTATATCTTTTTTAATTATTAAGACATCAGCCAGTTTCATTTGTATATCCAATGTAGCATCTCCTTCTGCATCATTCCCATAGGCCGTCATTTTAAAATCCACTTTCAAATCAGTCTCAGTCCTGTCCGGTAAAATTTCTCCTCTTCCATAATATTTTCCAAACACAGTCTATCTATAATGGCAGACACTCTTTTCTGGGTCCACTGTTCACAGATATCCTTCAATATGTCCAATGTTAAAACAATGTTAAAGCTCCATTCTGTACTAGTAAGTCAAATTTAAGTGTTTTTCTCCTTTAATTGTAATCTTTAATTCCTTCTGCTTCCTTCTAGTGTCCAACCTTCAAAGTCCCATCCTATCTTTTTTTAAAAAAAATTCAAAACAACAGCATTTTCCCATGGGAAGGATTCTTATAATTTTTATAATTAATTTCAAAATCTTACTTCAAATCCATCTAGACCCTTAGTCCATTTGTAACTTTCCAAAATCAATGTTCTAATCACCTTTTTGCTTTTATTCCAAAAGAAGAATTTTTTAAAGTTCTTAAACTTGTATTTAAAACTTCTCTTGCTAAGGATTGAAGGAAACTCACTGGGTGCAGTAAAACGTGTCATTTCATAGGTTCCTAATAGCTGAAAAGCAGTTAATAACCAGTTCCAAAAGTGATTAGAAAAGGAAGTATGTGAACCCTGTGTCCTTAAAGGTGCTGACTGTGGTTTGGGCAAAGATGGCATTCCCTCATCTCCCAGAGCTCTAAACCTGCTGGAGACCACGGTCTTGGAGCACTTGTGAGCGATCCCAAGTCCTCTCCTGTCTGGAGAGGAATCCCAAAGAGCCAGTCCACTTGCTCTTCATTCCACCATGGTCGTCAACTCTGTTCTCAGAGGAGCCATCTTTAGTTCACCATTTCTTCCCTGGAAGTCCCACTATTTGTGGACTACTTTGAATGTTAATTAACTAATAGAATAAGAGGTTATAGAAACAATTTAAAATAAATAACATACCATTTTTATGATAGCTTTGAGGTTTTAGTAAGTCTATAAAATAAGAGCAGAACATTGATTTCTCCATTAACTACTACTTAGCAGTAAAATTTTCTGCTTTGTTTCTAGGTAGTGCAGCACTGTGTTAGCTGTCTTGGAGCTGTCGTTAACAAGGTCACACAGAATTATAAATTTGTATGGGCTTGTTTTAATAGATACTATGGTGAGTTAAATATTCAGAATTCTGTATAAACATTATTTTAAAAGTGCATTCAATGTTTATGGGAAGAAATAGCATTTTAAGACAAGTTTTGTTATTTAGGTGCACTTTCAAAACTAAAAAGTCAACATCAAGAAGATCCAAATAGCACTATACTTACAGCAAATAAACCAGCACTCCTAAGATCCCTTTTCACTGTTGGAGCACTATGCCGGCATTTTGATTTTGATCAAGAAGATTTTAAAGGCAACAGCAAGGTAATATAATGTTTAAAAATAGATTTGGATGGACTGAAATCTCTGATATGACAAAAAAAAACTAGTTTGTCAGGCCCAGCCCAAGAATAACAGGGAAACAGTCCAGCCAAGTTCAGTTCTTTTATTGCGTACATCATATAGATAGAATCTTGCCAGACTAAATCTGTACTACTCTAACTTAGTGGATATACCTTGGGAGATTTTATGGAGTGGTTATCCTAAATTTCTTCCTCTTCCCACGCTCCTGCTCCAGACTGTGCTGTCTCTTGTCTTGCCCCACTTCCTGGAATGTGTTCCCTCCTTCCTGAGAACCTGCTGCGCTATTGCCATCCATCACATCTTCTGTGTTTAGATATTAATAAAAGTTTTGAAAAGGAAATGAAACATTCCTGGACTTACTTTTTAATTATTGTACCTTTTCCCCCTTTAACCAGGTTAACATAAAGGATAAAGTACTTGAATTGTTAATGTATTTTACCAAGCACTCAGATGAGGAGGTACAGACAAAAGCCATTATTGGTCTAGGTAAGATTTTACATCAGAAATACTTATTTTACTATGTATATGAGTAGCTGCTTATGATCATTATAGAATGACTGCTGTTTCAATAAAATTTCCAAGGTAATTTATTAATATAGTATGTTTGGATTATTGCGACGCTCTGTAGCAAGTGGGCTGTATTCATAAAAGGAAAGATCATGCAAATGTGCTAGCATCCATTTTTGTATATCTAGTTGTGTGCTTTTGATGCAACTTTGTAATTGTATATTGTATAGCTCTGTATTTTAAAACATATTAATAATTGGTTATTTGTGCATTTTGCAGTAACTGTAAAATGTAAATGAACAGTTGTGGGTAGTTGCAGGTATGGCAGGAAGTACTGGGTCGATCTTTATAAGAAAAAGATGGCCTGCACTTATGCTGGTCTCCACTTCTGGCCCAACCTTTCTTCTGTGTCTGGGTGATCTTGGTATAGTTTGTTACTGCCAGATCTGTATTCAGTAAGACAACATTATTCATGATGAGTTTGTGTGTGGACTTGTCTTACTTCACAGAAGCCTGATTGGGTGAGGATGGGGAAGTTGCCATGTCCAAGATTTATTCACCAGGTTTCATCATAGCCACAGTGTTGCAGTTGGGGTGGGGTTGTGGCAGTAAGTTATGGTGAGACCTTAACTGTGACTAGAGAAGCTGCTCTGCATGTGACTGCCTTCTTGAGCATTGGACTTCATAATGGCACTGGTGTTGAAATCACTGAGGATTTTATTGCTGAGTAACTTAAATTTGCATGTCTTGGGTGTGAATTCCAGATGGGCTCATGATTTAATGGCCTCTATAATGACCATAGGCTTGTTTCAGGTTATTTGTGGCCTAATGCACACAAGCAGTAACATATTAGACCTGGTATTTATGTGGAATTCTATAGGGATTAGCATGTTAGACAAAATTGGCACCGAGTGGTTTCTGCTTTAACGTAGGTCCTGGAGGACTCCTTGATTTTCTAAAGAGCTCTGGGAAATGAAGTGGCTCAAGAGATGGCCAGAGTAGTCCTGGGTGGAAAACATAAAGAGTGAAATTGACTAAATGCAATTGCATGCCCATGTTTGGTACTATACCATGGCAATAAGAGTAGCAAATTGTTTCTACTTGTCTGCTCTTATTGCATCTGCAGATTCACATCCAGTGGCCTTGTTTAGGTTTACCCATATCCTTTTGATAAAGAGGTGGAAGAAGATCTAACTGTTTTGTGATATTTTTGTGAGATTCTTCATAGATAAAATTGTTCACATTTGTTCAGATTATACACCAAATAGGCAGTCTTACAGATCATTTGAGATTGTTTTGAGTTGGCAGAGATCAAGGAAGTAGAGTTCTCCATAACATGAGCTATGCCACCTGTGGGCCAGATCCATGCCCTACCTGAATCTGTGGTTGGACATGGTATGTGCAGCTGTATTCTGGAGGTGGTGGATGCCTCTTTGAAGGAAGAGAGTTATCATATACCTTGAAATAGGTAGTGGGGTCCTCCCTGAATGCAGTATTCTCTGTCCAGCCATATTAAACACTTTGACCTGATCTCCAGTCTTCCCTTTCTGGGGAAGATTTTGGAGAAGATAGTGGGATCCTTCAGCTACAGAGGATCCTAGAGGAAACAGATTATCCAGACTATCCTGGGATGGAAAAAGCATTAGTCGTGAAGTTTGTTAGTTGGAGGGAATATACTCTCTCCTGATCATATTAGATCTCTCAAAGGCATTTGATATTATCAACCATTGTATTCTTCTGGACTGTCTGAGGATTAGGAGCAGAAAATATTGTTTTTGGTGCTTCTACTCCTTCCAGAGTGGTCAGTTCCATTTGGTGTGCATTGGAAAAAGAGCATTTGACCTCCTGGCTCCTCCAATGTGGGTGATACAGTATTTTCCTATACTATTCAAAATCTACATGAAACTGCTTGAAAGGTTATCCAGTTTGGGTTGAGGTAACATCAGTATATTGATGATACTCAACTGTACATCAGGGATGCTGTGGAAGTTCTCATCCAATTGTCTGCAGGCTATGAGAACTGGATGGGTCAAAGGAAGATTAAATCCATGCAGATATAGTTGCTGTGATCAGATTGGTTTGATCCCAATCACTAAGTTGGATTACACTCAACCTGTAATCAGGTCTGTGACTTGATGGTTCTCCTGGACATGCTCAGCATATGGTAGCTGTAGCCAGATGAGCTTCTGCTGGTGCATCATTTGAGGAGTTTTTTGGATGAGGATACCCTTGCAACAGTGATTCAAACCATTGCCCCATACTTAAGCACTATGCACTTTACATGGGGATGTCCTTGAATACCATTTGGAAACCACAACTGTTTCAAAATGCAGTGGCCTGACTAGCAACAGGAATGTGTTTAGTAGCATTGCACTTATGCTGAGGTTGCTGCATTTCCTACCAGAAAGATTACAGGCCCAATTGAATATACTGGTTTTTATTTTAAAGCCCTACAAAGCTTGGCACCCATGCACCTACAACATTATCTCTTCTGACAAGAATAATCTAAACAACATGTTCACTCCCAAAAAGGCTGCTGTGGATCCTAATCCCATATGAGGCAAGAGGACTTGGGGCCTTCTTGGTGGCATCCACCCGATTATAGAATATCTTGTCATAAGGTATAGGAAGCCCTGAATTTGTTTGCCTTTTGCAAAACCCTTAACACTACAATAGTCCAATGGGTATTTGCACTAACAGTGAATCTGGGCTGCTCTTGTAACTTATTATTATGCTTATGTTTTTCATGGTTTGATATTCTTATTTCTGTTACTTTTTAAACAATGCAAATTTGTTAACAAATGAGTTATTTGAAGCAGGATAATATTAAAATGTTTGTATAAATAAGTGAGCAATAAAATACAGGAAAACAAAGCTTCCAGTGGTAGAAAGTAAAATCAGTATAATATTTAAGCAACATTACTAAATAAATTCAAATATATTTGAAATAAGTCTTAAAAGGCCTTAATTTAGTGTTGAAAAGACCACCAAGTGTATGTTAGGAAGAGCATTCCATAGCTGCAGTGCCACCATGACAGTGATCTTTCTCTGTTAGCCATCTACCATCTCTCTTATTAAAAGCACCTAGGAAAAGATCTCAGAGATTTTCAATGTCTGGATGGGTATATGTGAGAAAAAGAATTCATTCAGATAAAGTGATCCAAGTTACTTATTTAAGGTTATAAATTTGAAAACCAGCCTTTTGAGTCTAGATTGGAAGTCACTGGAAATGATAAAACATTGCTCTATTATGATTGGTTTATTTTCAAAAGGAAATTGAAATTAAGTGCTTAAGCATGAATATGGGTTATTAATTTGCTTTATTTTTATTTTTAAACACTCAGAATGTTAAAAAGTCAACTCAGTAACAAGATTTATTAAGTTGCATTTTCTTATTTTCCTCAGGATTTGCCTTCATACAACACCCAAGTCTAATGTTTGAACAAGAGGTGAAGACGTTATATAACAACATCCTCTCTGATAAAAACTGCTCAGTAAATTTAAAAATCCAGGTGTTGAAAAATCTCCAGACATACCTCCAAGAGGAAGATACACGTATGCAGCAGGCAGACAGAGAATGTGAGTAATAAATACAATTGCATTAGATAAATATTTTAAATGTAATTGATTATGTACCATCAAACTAATATTAAATACCACGATTCAATGTTCAAATGGCTCTCATGTAAAGAGTGAGACAAATAAAATGTAATCTTAGTGACCTTTCGGTTGGCCACCCATCTAGATTCTTCACCTATGTTGAGCTTTATTCACAGTGATCCAGAGCTATGAAAGTTTGGCAGAAGCCCACTCTCCCCTCCTAGTGTGTATGCTCTAAGGGGAAGAACTGCTACTCTTCCTGTTCAGTTCCTTTCTAAAACTTTCAGCAGCAACCTTATAGGGAACATTCTTCATGTTTGCTATCACTGAAGAGTGCTGGGATATATTCTGTCATTTATTTACTATATTACTTCTTCTTTTCCTCTCTTTATTTCCTGTTTTCCAATTATCAGTTTTTATTTTTCCAATATACTTTCCATAAGTACTCTAGCTGTGGGAGTATACCATTCTCAACTGACAATGGTTTTGGTGACTTAGGGAAGAAGGACAGTTGGTAGGATATTGTTCTTGTTAACTGCATGCCCAATGGAACAGTTCTTTAATCTCCAGGAGCACATTCTGCAAGTGAGCCATTTGAATTTGTCTCAGTTTTATCCATTGAAACAAAGCTCTTATTTTATGTTGGTTGATTCAAATGCATGAGTAGAAAATCTTGTGCCTCCATATCAGCTACATACCTGTCCACTTTAGAATTCCAGATCACCATAAGTTCCGTTTTCAATTTTGGTTTTGAGACTGAACACATCTAGCAGTCCCTGTAGACCAATAGGTCATCTCATTATCTGGATGCTATTCCCTAAACTCTTTGCCACAGAATCCTATAGTAAGCTGGTCTTCAACTATTAGATTGGAAGAACTACAAAAGGATTAAACACTGAAAGATTATTTTTATCAGAACTGGCACTTATATTGAACAGTACTATTAACTACCTCAGTTTTGACTGTGATTATTATTTCTTTAACTAAGACTTTGTAACCAGAGAGGCAGGATTTGCAGTTCGCTCTCTTTATCACTCCTTGCTTTGTTCATTTTGATTGATGATCAGGTTTTCTTCTGAAAGTGAAATTTTAGATTGATCACTATTTTCCCAAAATGATGTCTGACTTGGTTGCTATTTTACAGTCAATTGCTATACTTGTTGCTCTTAAATCTTGTTGTTCTAATGGTTCAGAAAATTTCCTGATGAATTTGAAAGAGTTTATGGTGGAAATTCCTACAGTTCCACTATCTACGTAGACATACATTTTATAGATATTTGTCTTTGATGACCAGTTGTGACACCTGGTACCTGATGTAGGTGGTACCTGCATCATCTGTAATCTTGATTGCTATTTTAAGTGGTGTACACCTGAGATACACCCTCTCTTGGACATTTTTGCTTCAACTTAAAAAATATTTGGAGATGTTTGACTAGTGCTAGCTCCAACCTCTTCCTTTTAGGGAAGATTTTTGAGAATGTAGTCAGACTGCAGCTTCAGAGGGCTCTGGATAAAACTGATTATCTAGACCCCCCTTCAGTCAGGTTTCAGGTTGAGACATAGTACTGAGACAGCATTGATTGCACTTGTTGATGAGTGCAAAGATCACTCTTTGATCTCTCAGTAGCTTTCGATACCATCAATCGTTACACATTTCTGGACAACCTGCAGGAACTAGGAGTGCGGGGCACAGAATTCTGGTGGTTCCCTTTTTTCTGTGTCTAATTGCAGTTGGTGTTGGCAGTGGGGGAGAGATGAAGCTTGAGACTCCTATGTGGGGGGTGTTGCAGGGTTCACTACTCTTGCACTTCCTGTTCAGCATCTACAGGAGAACATTGGCTAAGATCATCCATCGGTTTGCATTGGGTACCACCAGTATGCTGATGATACTCAGTTGTATTTCTTGATTCCTGATTAACCAGGTGATATTGTTTTGTCAGTGTCTGGAGGCTGAGGGGACTGGATGGGGAGAAACAGACTCAAGCTCACCCTTGACAAGACCAAGTGGCTATTGATAGTTGGACCACATGGGACCGGAAATGTTCCATGTTTAGTCCAAAACAGGGTTGCGCTTTCCCCTTTGGGACTGGTACACAATTTGGAGGACTTCATGGGCTCTGTCAGCCCTTTGAGATAAACCAGATTAGAAGATTTTCCAAGGACCTAAAGGAATGAGTAGCATTTTCAACAGTCCTGTTGGTGTGTGTGGCCCATCCATGGCCCATCTGCAGGTGACATATTGGTAAACCTCTACCCTAAAAAGTTGCCATCAGAATTGCTAGGAAATCAAGTGTAGTCTTAGAGAAATCATAATGTGGGAAAATCATGGCAAAGATACAGAATTTTTCTTTTTAGAATGCCTGTTGATAGAGTTGCTGGGAGTTGGACAGCATATAAATTTGTTGTTATTATTCTTGGTCATACAGTCAGCCAGATGTTTAGACTAGATTGACATTTTTATCCACTTATTGAGTCCTTCCCAAGGATCGGGATAGGCAGATGTTGTTGTTGTTGTTGTCGCAGGATATAAGCAGTTCCAAGTAAAGCTGCCGTTTGCAGTTGACTGATGGTGATTTTGTCAGTGCTGATGGTGATTTTGTCAATTCCAGTGGTGTTCAAGTGGTGCTCCAGATGTTTTGGGATGGCACCCAAGGCACCTATTACTATTGGTACTACCTTTGCTTTCTTTTGCCATAGTCGTTCTGTTTCTGTTTGCAGGTCTTTGTATTTTGTGATTTTCTCCAGTTCTGTCTCTTCTGCTCTGCTGTCTCCAGGTATTGCAACAAAAACTATTCAGACTTTTTTGCCTTTCTTATCAACAGTTGTTAAATCTGGGGTGTTATGTGGCAGGTGCTTGTCTGTCTGAATTGTAAAGTT